AGATGTGGTGGACATGTATCACTGGAATTTCCCTTGAAGGGCTTATTTAGGAGGTGGTTGTCATTTCACATTGGTGTAACCATGACAAAATGATGTTACTAGGTACTCATTCAAAATGTGCCTCTTCAGAATGCTGCAGCATGAGTGAGTGTTGAAGTCATTCCCAGCAGGAGGAATGGGGTGTGTCAGGCGATTCAATGACTCAATAACACTGCATTTTGGACTGCAATCCATATATATGTATCTAAATGGATATTAAATGCTCAAGCTGATATTTCACATTGTTTTGCACACAGCTTGTCACACACACAGATGAAGTTTTCATTTAACATATGCACCTTTGGGAAAGTGAGCCAGCTGACATTTACTATAGATAGCACCCCAAAAAACTTTGACAGATAATACGTTTGCATACAGTTCAAAACCAGCCTGTTGCTCTATTACATCTCTGTAGATAGAAGACAAGATCTTTAAGGATTTTGCATGCTGAGATAACCTTTTCAAAAAGGGAGATGATTGCTGCTTTTTGAGGCTCTACTGTGTAGTAAAGCTTTTAGCCCTCAATACTAAAAATAATTTAAATACCATAAGACACAGTGCTGCTTGTTTCACACTGCCTTATAAACATGTTATACATGCTGCTTTTGCTCCGGGCTAAATCTGTTTGCTTGACCTAATTGTGGTTTGGCCCAAGTACACAACCGGTGTGCAATTTTCTGAAATGTTTATCTACTGTCTCTTCCTCCTTCTTTCTCTCATTCAAATCAAAAGTATGTACACAAAAATGAAAGTACACACACTTTCATTCATAACATTTTATGTGTCGGGACATAAAAATACAATTTTACCTTCGGCAGGTCGGCTCAACTACATAACACAACAAGTAATTATATATTTAACAAAAATTCAGCCACTTTGCAGGAGCAGTATACAAAAACTAAATGTAAACACCAGCCAGGTGCTGCTAATCAAATGCACTCGATTATCCGATCATCAGTAAGTGTGAGCACCTCTATTATATCCAGATTCTTTCTGATTTACAGTCTTAGCTCTCACCAGTTACAGTATATTTGACACAGTTTGATTAACTGAATTCATTTGTATTTCAATCAAAAGTTCAGTATTGGAAGCAGTATTACACTCATCTGCATTTTCATACACTCTCCTTCATATTTGAGGTTTTATATATCAACATATCTTAAAATTAGCTAAATACAATCTCGTATGAACAACAAATTACATTTTATTTTACATGTAAAATATAAATATATAGTACAACTTTACTGCTTCTACAGGAATTAAGAGGGTAGGTTGTGAGTGTCTCTATAAAAAAAAGCAGAAGTCATTGCTTTGAAGAAGCAGTTGTTGCTGCCTGTCAGTCTGGGAAAGGTTACAAAGTTTTAAATTTGAAAGATTATTCACAAAATATTCAAGATAACTGTATCACCCTGAGAGGGAATGTCCCGACCTGACCGAATTGACCTTGAGGACAGATTGTGTAATACTCAAAGAAAGTGCAAAAATACAAAGAACTACATCTCAGACTCTACAGGCCTCAGTTAGCATCTTAACCCTTGTGTGGTGTTCATATTTTTGTTACTCAGCCAGTGTTCATGGGTCCGGTAGACCCGCTAGAGTTTTGGCTTTCCAAATTAACACTATCAAACAATTTTATGTTAAATTACTCAACAGATGTTTACTTCATCCCAATTACAAGACATATCAACAGCAAACAGTTAATTTTTTCCCTTTACCTTTGTTAGATCACATTTATGAATTAATGTCCTTCTCGTTTTTTGGTTTTTTTTATAAAATGTTATAAAAAAAATAAATCAGTTATAATCAAGTGGAGTGAGTGGAAAGACACAACACATTTACACGTGAAGCAATATGTTTCACAACTAAATGGGATCAGCTGCTCATCAATGGTGACATTAGGCCCAGGGT